TTGTTAAAGAAACGAATGCATGGTTTTCAGATGTGTTTTGGGATAAGAGCTGCTGAGACCCTTCTTAGGGCTGAGGAACCTGGAGACAAAATGTTCCAAGGTATCCACTTGAGACATCTCCCTAAGCTCCATGTCCCCATTCGTGAAGTTGGGGTGGAGGTTCCGCCAGAGCTGTCCGGACGCCATGCACTTCAGAGCAGGCAGCTGCTGGGCTTCAATGAGTCCGGCCATTTTGTTTTACAATGAGGCCTGCAGCGGATGGACAGCAGGGTGGGGATCAGGGGCTCAATCCCAAGCCTAAGAGGAGCTTCTCGTGGCCCCGGAGTGGCCGCCCAGTCACTTGGAGGAAGAAATACCAAGAGGTATGCCTTCCTTGGTGAAGCCAAGCCCCTAACCCCAGGGGCCCCCACAGCAGCTATAGGGTCCTCCCCCTTCAGACAGTGACACCCACGAACACAGGTTAGTGACTCCCGGGGCACAGCCCACAGAGGCACCCAGCAAGGTTCACTGCGCCAGCGAGTCCTCCGCACTCCCAGGCATGCTGAAAGGGAGGCCCAGGGATCCTTTGTCGTGACGGTGCAGTTGTGGGAATTGTGAGGTTGGCATCATTTCCTGCCTGAGGATTTAAGGGGGTCTTGGTGGCTGAAAGGAAAGCAGATCTTGGGTGCACTAATGGAGGACTGGTGTAAGAGGGAAGGGAAGTGAGCTCCTGACTTGAATTCTTAATTCCATGAGGGACTTTATAAGGTCTGGGAGAGTGGAACAGCCCTGGGATCCCTCCATTGTAGAGATCTGGTGAGAAAAAGTTGAGAATGCAAGTAGCCAAGAAGGATGTTTCATATGCAAAGAGTTCTGATAAATAAACAAGGAAAGAAGAATGTGAGGAAAATAACAGCCATTGATGGAATTAATTAAAACTAAATGGGACAGAGTTCTAGGCAAGATGGAGGTGTAGGTAGAAATGCTTCACTTCCTTGCACAACTGAAAGAAGGATAAAAACAAATTTAAAAACAATAAACAAGCAGAAGTGCCAGAAATTCAAACTGCATGGAACTCCAACAACCAAGGAGTTAAAGAAACATTCGTCTGGACCCGTAGGAGGGGCAGAGATGAGCAGACAGGCAGAGAGAACCCATGGCAAGGCAGCTGACCGCCTGGGTGAGGTGGGGCTGCTGACCCCAAAACTAAAGACTCAAAGCCTCTAGCTGTAAAATTCTAGGGGGTTTCAAAGGCCAGAGAAACTCCCAGTCTCGCAGAAGAGTTCATTGGAAAGTGGGGCTAGAGCAGAGCAAGGGATTGGTGTTGTTCCCTCTCTGGCGCAGACCCTACAGACTACACCACAACGCAGCAAGGAGGGCTGCCCCGCCCTGGGGCATAGCTAGGGCTCCACCCCCTTACAACTTAACAGGTGCTCAGAGACAAAGAAATATGGCCAAAATGAAAGAACAGATCAAAACTCCAGAAAAAGAGCTAAGTGTCAAGGTGATAGACAACATATCTGATGCAGAGTTCAAAACACTGGTGATCAGGATGCTCACAGAACTGATTGAGCTCGGTAGCAAAATGAAGAAAGAAATGAAGGCTACACAAAGTGAAATAAATTAAAATATATAGGGAACCAACAATGAAGGGAAGTTAACTGGAACTCAAACCGACGATTTGGAACAAAAGGAAGAAATAAATATCCAACTGGAACAGAATAAAGAAACAAGAATTCAAAAAAATGAGGAGAGGCTTAGGAACCTCTGAGACAACTTTAAACATTTCAACATCTAAATCATAGGGCTGCCAGAAGGAGAAAAGGAAGAGAAAGAAATTGAAGACTTATCTGAACAAATAATGAAGGAAAACTTCCCCAATCTGGCAAAGGAAACAGACTTCCAGGAAGTCCAGGAAGCTCAGAGAGTCCCAAAGAAGAACACACCAAGGCACATCATAATTAAAGATAAGGAAAGAACCTTAAAAGCAGCAATAGAAAAGGAGACAGTTACCTACAAAGGAGTTTGCATAAAACTATCAGCTGATTTCTCAAAAGAAACCTTACAGGCAAGAACGGGCTGGAAAGAAGTATTCCAAGTCATGAAAGGCAAGGACCTACATCCAAGATAACTCTATCCAGCAAAGCTTTCATTTAGAATGGCAGGGCAGATAAGTGCTTCTCAGATAAGGTCAAGTTAAAGGAGTTCATCATCACCAAGTCCTTATTCTATCAAGTGTTCAAGGGACTTATCTAAAAAATAGAACAAGATAAAAAACTATGAACAGTAAAATGACACCAAACTCACAACTATGAGCAATGGAACCTAAAAAACAAAAACAAAAACTAAGCAAACAACTAGAACAGGAACAGAATCACAGAAATGGAGATCACATGGAGGGTTATCAGTGGGAAGGGCATGTGGGGAGAATGGGTGGAAAAGGTACAGGGAATAAGAAGCATAATTGGTAGGTACAAAATAGACAGGGGGAGGTTAAGAACAGTATGGGAAATAGAGAAGCCAAAGAACTTACATGTATAACCTATGGACATGAAATAAGGGGGGGAATGCTGGAGGGTGGAGGGGTGCGGGGCATAGGGGGGATAAAGGAGAGTAGAAAAATTGGGACAACTGTAATAGCATAATCAATAAAATATACTTTTAAAAAAACCTAAATGGCCACTCCAAGAGGTTCTGTCTCGCCCTGACACTCTGATTGCAGTGACATGGGCCATTGTGGAGCTGTTTCACCTCTCACACCTCCCCCTCACCAGGGCCCGGGTTTGGCTTGGTTGTAACTGTGTGTATTTGCTGAGGTGTCTTCTTTGTTTTAGAGCCCTTGTTTAGAACTTACAAAATACATTCCCATTGAACTAATGCTTGGCCATTTAGGTTTGATTTTTCTATTTAATAAGTGTTTAATAGATGTGTAAATGACATAAATAAGCAATAGTAAGTCTCCTAAACATTCCACATGGTGAATTTATACAGGACAATATTAAGATTCATGACTCACTTCCTGACTCACCTCTCTGCCCAGCCTTTGGGTTGAGCTCTCCAGGCGGATCAATCTCTGTTGGTTCAGACCAGGATTTCTCAGTCCCTGCAATGTTGACTTTTGGGGCTGTCATCCTCACTGGTAGGGCAGTGTAATGCTGGTTAATCAGCGTGCATGGCCCCCACCCACTCCGTGCCATTTAACAGTTCACACCCCCACCCCACCCACGTCGAGATAACCAAAAATATCTCCAGCCCTCTGTGGGGCTTGGGTGGTGGGCGTTGTTCCGGATCCAGGCTGGGCACACACCTGGGTGTGGGTTCTGTCCCCGGTCAGGAAGTGTGCAAGAGGCAGCTGGTCGGCGATTCTCTCCCTGTCCTTCTTCCTCCCTTCCCCTTTCGTGAAAAATAAATGAGTAAATAGATAAATATTTCTTAAAGTATTAAAATAAATAAATAACTCTGCAGACATTGCCAAGTGTCCCCCGGGGGCCAAATCAGCCCTGGCTGAACCTCTGGCTCAGATGTTAAACTTAGATGGGTTAGTGGTTAATCATCCACCAACGGTCATGGCTCCTTAATGAGGTGGCCCTGGCTTGGCAGGTGGAGTTTTTGTTTGTTTGTTTTTTGAGATTTTATGTATTTATTTATTTTTAGAGAGACAACTGTTCAGATCAGGAAGATGTCCTTTAGAGGTTCAGTTCATTCTTCTGTCACCTTCATCAGTTCACATTCTCACCCCAAGGTAATCCGCCTTTTTGGGTCTCCCAGACCTGCCTGCCAGAAGCCGAACCCCTGGGGTCTGGCAGCCACCCCAGGAGTGCCACAGCAGCAAGACAGGCTCTGCGCCACCTGCAGGCAGGGCCCCGCCACTGCTCAGGCTCTACCAGTTCATTTCCACCTCAGGGTCTTTGCATCTGCTGTTCCCTCCCTGGGGAACACTGCCCCCTAAACCTCAGCCATGCTGGCTCTTCCACCCCATCACATCCCAGCTTAAATGTCACCTGGGCCTCAAAATCCAAACATACCACCAGACTGCATTTTCTCTCTTGGCTTTTTTGTCACTTTGTATCATTTCATTGAGGATTTTATTTAGTGTTTGTCCCCCTCGACAGCGTGGGTTCCGAAGTGGCAAAAACATTTAGACCCTTTGTACCTGATCACCATTGTGTCCCCAGCTCCCAGGAGGTGGCATACACACACAGTAAACATTGGCTTTGAGGAATGAATGAAAGTATACAATCACTCCAGAGTCAGCTGCCGTGGCGAGGCAGCGTGCATTCACTCGTCATCCACTCCACATGCTCTCACTGGGCACTGACTGCATGGCAGGCGCTGTTCTGGGAGCTGGGGTAAAAGGGTGGACGTGACAGGTCACAGGGAGCTTATCTGGTAGAGGAGATGGGTAAGGAAAATACATTTCAAATGTTGTATCATGTATTTTAGAAGGTGGGAAGTGTGTGGAAGGAAGCAAAAGTAGAATGCGTGGGGTATCAGTGAGACCTAGTGTTGTGAGGGGAGGCCTTCCTGAGAAGGGGACATCTGGAAAAACAGAGGGCAGTGAGGAGCTGTATGCACATCTGGGGAAAACCATGCCAGGCAGAGGGACCACCTGTGCAATGGTCCTGAGGCAGGACTGTGCCCATCACGCCTGAGGTTAAGAGCCCCACAACACTTTTACATAGGGCTCATTCCCATCCTTTTACATGGAGGCTCAGAGAGATCCAGCTTCCGGCTCAAGGCCACACAGCGGGATGTGTGGAATGGGAACTGAGTCCCATTTCTGGGTGACATCTGGCTGAAGAGGCCTTAGCCAGGCACTGTGCACACACAGCAATAGACACACTGGGGAAACGGCCTCAGGGGTCCAGGAGGCAGGCCCTGTCCCCTGTGCAGCGCCAATAAGTGGCTCTGGATGTAAACAGGAAACCACTCTCTTGCCTGCTCCCAGGCAGTAGCTGGGTGGGGTCACTTTGGCCAGGAGGGGACCACCAGAACCCCCTAAATGCCCCACACTGTTCCAGGTGCCAGGGGGGACAACGAGGAGACCCCAGACCAGCACAGATCTCCTGAGGAAGGCTGAGGTAAGTGCTGAGGTTCATGTATTCATTCAACAAACACTCATTGAATGCCCACTTAGGTGTCTGTCCTGGAGAGGTCCCTTCACACGTGCACAGTCCCGTGAGCTGGGGATTGCTCAGATGCCCCTTTTACAGCCGAGGAGACTGAGGTCCGGGGTGTGGAAGGCACACAGCCAGGACGTGATGGAATCGGTGTTCAAACCCAGGGTTTGGGCTCCAGAGTCTGCATCCCTCAGGGATAAGCCAATAAGTGTTTGCTGAATAGTAAGTCCTATCTTGGGTCCAATCCAGAACTTCCTGACGCACTGGAAAAGAGATCCTCAAATTTAGGAAAACAGCACAGACACCACCTTACCAGGCAAAAAGGCGCTGAGGTGGTGCAGGGAAGCTGGGAAAGGGACTTACAAGGGAGACCTAGGGCTGTGCCTAGAAGAGGGGGAAAGCTCTCAGGAAGAGGAGACATTAGAGCTGGGGATTTTGAGTTTGAATAAGGGTTTGCCAGACATAAATTGAGTCAATTTAATCTTTTACTCATAAATTTACTCATTCAAACACTCCCTGCTCTCCCCACGTGTCTGCCTCATGCTGGGCGATGCCAGGACCCCAGGTCTGGGGAGACAACTCCAGACACGGTCACCCCACAGGATCAGGACTGAGCCAGATCAGGGGATGGGGCTGGAGGTGCCCACGGGGAAGCAGGACTTTTCCGAAGGGTGGGAGAGGGCTTCCTAGAGGAGTGGGTGTGGAGGTGAGTTTGCCAGGAGGAGCAGGTGGGCGCCAAAGGAGATGGTTTTGTCTGATACATGCTGGGTCAGGGGCCGCGCTCAGGTCAAAAGATCATTTAAAATAGTGAAGAAGAAGAGGCAACGGTTGTATCAGAATGCCAGAGCTCAGAGCTTTCTAGAGCAGCAGGTGTTGAAGGGGAGGAGGAAGGATCCCAGCAGCTTGCACCTGATACAAAGGGCATTCTCTGCCTCCACCTGGGAGGCTCCTGGGCCATCTCTGAGTCAGGGACATGAGGAGGAGCAGGTTGGATATGGGAGGGGTGAATTCTGGGCACTCGGAGTCTGGGGGGCTCTCGTTGGAATTCCCGTGCCTCAGTTTCCTTTGTAAATATGGAACCCCAGGCAGGGCCTGGGCTTCTGTCAGAGTCCAGCTGGGCTGGGGTGCGGGAAGAGGCACGGTGTGGGGGACAAGATGGGGGTGAATTCCAACATTTTACCAACCCGAATGATGGCGAGCTGCAACCAGGTGTTGGGGTCCACAGGTGGCTCAGGAAAAGTGCTCGGCCCATCCGGATCTTCAGTGGCTGCTACTTTCCCTGGAGCCGCCTGGGGATCTCCTCGGATCAATCGCAAACCCTGCAGTCCAGGATGAGGTGTCCGAGGTCCTTGCCACAGGTGGGCCTGGCTCTGGTGCTCTGCACCTTCACTCTCCTCTGCCTCCTCCTCAGTCTGCACCTGTCACCACCCCAGTGCTGCCCCTGCCAGGAACTGAAAGAGCCACTGGACACCCCCGCGGCTCTGATCTGGCTCCCCGAGCCAACCCTCCCCACCACGCCGGCGCCCTGCAGGGCCAACACTTCCCTGGCCCAGCTGCCAGACTTCGCTGAGCAGCCAAAGCACGTGCGCGACTTCCTGCTGCACAGACACTGCCGGGACTTCCCGCTGCTGCAGGACGCGCCTCTGAGCAAGTGCACACAGCGGGTCTTCCTGCTGCTGGTCATCAAGTCCTCGCCGCACAATTACGAGCGCAGGGAGGTGGTGCGGCGCACTTGGGGCCGAGAGCGGGCTGTGCGGGGCGGCTGGCTGCGCCGTCTCTTTCTGGTGGGCACAGCCCAAGAACCGCACGAGGCCCACAAAGTCAACCAGCTGCTGGCACTGGAGGCGAGGGTTCATGGCGACATCCTGCAGTGGGACTTCTACGACACCTTCTTCAACCTCACACTCAAGCAGGTGGGCTGGCAGAAAGAAAGTCACCTTATTGGGGCCACCTGAGCTTCCTGCCCAGATCACCACCATCTCCTCTGAGGGGCCCAAGGGAACCAGCAGACCCTGCACCCCATGCCACCCCCTCTAATGTCCTCAGGGCATCTGAGGGCCTTATCTCTAGGGGAGGCCAGAGGTTCCAGCCTGGCTACAGGGTCCTGCTAACCCAGGTGCAAGTTCAGGCTCTATGTTACCCTTGATGTTCACCTCTCTGTGCCCCCAGTTTCCTCAACAGGGAAATTGGTTATTAATTGGACTCGCCCACCTCTGAGGACCTCTGTAAGGATTGCATGAGATAACATTTAGAAGTCACCTGGACCAGTGCCAGGCACTCAGATAACATTGGCAATGAGGTGCGGGGTTGCAGGGATGCAGGGTACTGGACAGAGCACACCCTGTTTTTGTCTGGTGAGTCCCCCCATGGGGCCCCCTCTGTGCAGTGGGTACTCCACAAAAACGTTTCTGATGGACAAGAACCCATGGGAGGTAGAGAGAATCCACATGCAGAGGAGGCAGTGGGGGCTCCAAGGACCCACCCAGGTTGGGTGGGGGGGGAGCAATCTGCATAGACACCCAGTGCAGGTTCCTGCTCCTGGTAGGCACAGACAGGTCTGGGTTCAAGACATCAAGGGGCAGCAAAGGTCATTATGGAGGAAACTGAAACCAAAGTGAGCAAAGGGCCAGGACCCCTCAACATGCCCCCTTCTTGACACAAAACACCAAAGCACGCGGTAAGTAACAACTTGACACACGTGAATCTAACCCATATGAGGCGCTGGGCCCACAGCGGTGCTGGGAACACGGCACAGGTAGGAGACACAGCCCCACCCAGGGGGAGCCCAGAGTCTGGGGGTGGGGGATGTCCGATGACGACCACACAGCAATTCTATGACAGCAGCGCTCGGCCAGGCACACTGGGAAGGAATGGCAGTAAATGCAGGCGTGTGAGTCTTCCTGGCGCTGTGCAGAATATCGTCTTCATGGACCCCCAATGCTCCTGCAGGCAGGTCCTGAGATGCGGCCTAAAAGGAAACTTGGAAACTGAGGCACAGAGAGGAGCGGGGTTTTTGCTCAGGTCACCCCCACAGGGTGGGACCTTGACCCCAGGCTGGGTTGACAGCGGGGACGCAGCCTCAGCTGTGCTCTGTGGGCTGGGGCGGCCAACAGGGACCTGAGGCTGATGGTCCCAGCCTTGAGCCTGTGTGCCCTGTCCGCCCGCCCGCCCGCAGGTGCTCTTCCTACAGTGGCAGGAGGCTCGGTGCAGCAATGCCAGCTTCGTGCTCAACGGGGACGACGATGTCTTTGCGCACACAGACAACATGGTCTCTTACCTGCTGGACCACAACCCTGACCACCACCTCTTTGTGGGGGCAACTGATCCAGAATGTGGGCCCCATCCGGGCCCCCCCAGAGCAAGTACTATGTGCCAAAGATAGTGACACAGGAGGAGCACTACCCGCCCTACTGTGGAGGTGGTGGCTTCCCTGCTGTCCCGCTTCACGGCGGCCGCCGTGGGCCGGGCCGCCCGCACCCTGGACCTCCTCCCCATCGATGACGTCTTCCTGGGCATGTGCCTGCAGCAGGAGGGCCTGAAGCCCGCCTCACACAGCGGTATCCGCACCGTCGGCGTTAGGTCTCCCACAGCACGTTTGTCCTCCTTCAACCCCTGCTTCTACCGGGAGCTGCTGCTGGTGCACCGCTTCTTGCCCTATGAGATGCTGCTCATGTGGAATGCACTGAGCCAGGCCAACCTCACCTGTGGCAAGCAGGCGAGGGTCTATGGAGGTGGTGCGGGGACCCCTAGCCTCTAGGCTCCTGTCTCCACCCCCATAGGAAGGGGTTACATCTTCCTCCCGGAAAGCTGAGAACTTTGTCCTCCGAGGGCCCAAGGGAGTGCCTCAGAATGTTTGCTAGAGAATATGAATACTTTTGTGGCAAGCTCCTACACAACCTTTGAAACTCACTCAGTACTGCTCATACCATGTTCATCATTTTCCCTAGACTCTCAGCTGGAGGGACCATCTCTTTCCATGGCAGCTACTGGCAGAAGCACTTCAGCCAGGGTTCCAGCAGCTGCTGCTCCTTCCAGCCCCTTTCAGTCAAAGTCCCACATCCCTGCTCCAACCTTGATCACGGGCTGGACCTTAAACAGTGGTCAGCCTCTCCTTGGTAGTGAACCTGCAGTGGTTTAATCATGGGTGTATTCTGGGTAGGGTTCAAGGCCAACTAGGAATTCCTGGGTGCACATGCAGCTGAAACAAGAAGCACTTTTCAGCCAGGGAGAAGGGTTCACCACCCTTCCCTGGGCCTTGGGCCCCTTGGAGGGTAGGAATGGCCTGAGAGGCCATGCACAGACCGCCCCCTCTGTGCCTGTAGCATCAGGTGCTCCAGTGGCAGACACATTGGGCAGAGGGGGGAGGCAGCTATCTTTTTCAGGCTATAGTGACGCAGGGTCTGGGCCCCTGGCAGGACCAAGCCCCCACACCTGTGCTCAGGGAGCTCAGGGAACAGTATTGGGACCAAGGTGCCTTCACAGGGCTCAAGGCCAGTGCATACACTCACCCCAGTGCCCAGAGAAGGAGGTGGTTCAGGCCCTCGAGTGGCCCTGAGCTCTTGTGACTCTGGACTAGGTACCCACCCCAGTGTGTCTTTCTGACTTGGGAGATCCAAGCAAACCCGTGAACCCCAGCCCTGCTGGCCTTAGACAGGTGTCTGGGACTTGGACCTCACAGTCATTGGGGAGGTGACAGGGGCACTTAAGGCAGCAGAGTGAGGGCTGGAGAGTGGCTTCTCAGGGAATAAAAGGTTTTGAGGAGGCCTGGAGGTTGTTTGGTTTGTTTGTTTGTCTTTCAAGTTATTTACAAGTTTTAACTCAGACCAATCTACATTCTTTTGTAAAAGTCTCGTTTCCAGTAAAAAATGTACACCAACAGACAAAGCGGGCTGCAAGGCCCTTGAGCACGCTGGCCACCCTCCCCCTCTCCCTGCTCACACACCTGCTGTGGCTCCCCATCGCCCTCAGTTTACCACCCCCCCACAACTGGTTCTCACTGCTGGCTTGATGACAGGCTCAGGGAGGAGAGGGTCAGCATGAGCCCGACCCTGTCTGCATGGACACTGGGCTCTCCTCCACCTCCTGCTTCTGGCAAGGCCCCTTCCCAGGCCCACCCAACCTCCTCTCCCCTGCCTGGCTCCCCTCCTCCCGCTGGGGCTGTAGCTCTGCTGTCCTCTCTGCCTCCTTCTTGCCCTCCTTTAAGTAGTGTGCACCTCCTGTGTGCTGCACTCCCTGCCCTGTTCTTTTACCCCTAGCCCCATGGGAGGGTCGGCAGACACAAACCCACCTCATGGGAAGGAGGTTATATTGTACAGTCCACATCTTAGGATGGAGGGAGGATGCAAGTGAGAAGAATGGTCAGCGTTGGCTCAATAAATATCCACTGTGACCCATTCATGTATTCATGTGTGTATTTGTGTACCACCAGGTAAGTGTGCATTAAATGATATTAAGACCCTCCCAGGGCTCTTAAGAGATACTATGATTTGAATCCTGTTCTTGGTCATTCCCTGCCTGTCTGACCTTGGCAAGCAGCCATCTCCCCAGGCCTTAGTGTCCTCACTTTGTATTGTGATGACTCTCAAATATTTGTCCAGCTTCTAGAAGTGTTGGTGATCCATAGCTGCCAGGAGCCAAGCCAACACGAGGGCTGGCCCAGGAATGTCCTCTTCTGTTGAGGAAGTTCAAAAAGCTGCTTTGAATTCTGCAGGAGTTTTATTTATTTACTGGTGGGGAGACAGCAAGACAGGGTGTCACAAATGCAGAGAGTGTGGTGTTTGGGGTTCTTCAGAGGTAAGGACATTTGTCCCTTAGTGTCTGGCCCCTCTCTGAAACCAAGGATCCTCCAAGTCAGGGTGGGGGTATGTTTTTTCCCAAGTTGACCCTACAGAGGACAGGTGGTCTGGGATAGGTGGTGAGTTCCCTGTCCCAGGAAGTAATCAACAATCTCTCCCCAGATATGGGACTTTATGGTGCTGTGTGGCTTCAGGAGTTTACCAGACCATACCTTCTGGGTCTCTGGCTCCCCAGAAGCCATGTCCCAGGAAGACTCAGTGGGGACAGAGGGCCAGCAAGTCTTGCCAGGTGCAGCCACTGAGACAGCAGTGGTGTGCAGGGTTGGTAGCAGCTGCCCGGCGGCGGTGGTGATGGTGAGAGGCCTGGGGCAGGGGCTGAGGGCTGAGTAATAGCATCGAGTCCCTGTTGGCCACCAGCCCGTGGAGATGTCGTCCTTCCAGCCATTGCAGCAGCTCACCTGGTGACAGAATAGACGCCCCCACTCTGTGTGCACACTCCTGCATGCTCACATCCCACTGAGTGCCCCACCAAATACTCATCATACACACAAATAGTAAGCACTTATTAAGTTCCTATTGTATACACTGCACACAGATTTAATCACCCATCTAGGTGCGTACACTCTTGACCCACATCCACGCTCATGTCCCCAGGAGTGCACACTCCCATCTGCCACCTATCACATGGACACCCAGACACTTAACAGAGCAGAAGGCAGCAGAGGTGACATGTGACACATTCATGTTCACAGGTGTGCAAGCAGTGGGTACACACTGACACAAAAATACCCCAAGATGAGCTCACACTGGTACATGCCCTCAAACCCTCTCGCAGTGCCCCCCACCTGCCATCTGTGCCTCTGGTCCCTGTCACACATACACGAACACAGGACACATGCGTGGGACATATGTGCACACAAACCTGTTTTATGCCCTCTGAACCAGGGCTGGGACTAGGGTGAGGAGAGTGGGCACTGGTCTCCTGGAGTACGATTTAAGGGAGCGCCAAAACTCAATGATGCAGTATTTTAAAAATCAAAATTATTGGGAAAATGCATGAAGATCAAAATACTGAAATGGTAAAGACCATCTGTGTACTTGTGAGGCTCTGCCTATTCCCGCTGGGCTTTGCACAGGTTCCCGCCCAGCGAGAAAGCATCCTCTACCAACTTGCGCACACCATGCGGCCAGCCGGGGCACCCTGGTCAGGGCGTGACAGCCTGCCCGCGGCCTCGAGGCCCACCTGCGCCCCGTGCACCTGCCCCTCTTAGAGACCAGGAAACACAGTCCCCACCCCATGGCTGTACTCACGGTTGCCACCAGCCACCAGCCTCTCGGGTTCAGGGGACCAGCTTGGGCCCCCACACACTTGCACTAGTGTGCGAACGAAGTGGCGGCCACACAGCTTCTCTGGCGTCTCCGGGGCAGGTGCTCGGCCCAGCGCCAGTATCAGAACCGGGCCCAGCAGCATCAGGGCCCAGGGGAACAGACGGGGGTCCATGGTGAAGGAGGTGCAAGAGCCCAGCCCGCAATCCCTTTATAGGCACCCAGCCCGCCCCAGCTGGGGACCTTGGAGGAAGAAGAAAGCGTGGAGAGGGACCAGGGAGAGAGGGTCAAGGACAGGGTCAGGGTGAGTGCAGCGTGAGCCTTGACACTGTTTTCTTTCCTTTCCTTCTTTTCTTTCTTCTTTGTTATTTTACTTTATTTATTTATATTTTGTAAGGCTAGTGCCTGACTTAATTAAGCTTTGGTTATGGAGACAACCATCTCAGTGATGGCCATCGCCACAAACCACGTGCCTGCCCGGCTACTGGGGAAGTGCTGGCCCCCTTCACCGAGACGCCTCTGTTTTCGAGATCTTGGTTGATTTTGGTAACTGACCATTTGGGCCACTTATGTTTTTTTCTTTCATGCTTTCAATTACCACTCTCATGTTCTAAATTCACAATAAAGGATGAGTCTGCAAAACCCCAGCCCCTCCCCCGCCATCCTCAGCCCAGCACCAGGGAACCGCAGGCCTGTGCATGCTCTCTCTCCTCACTCTGTGGCCCCAGGCATGTTATCTCCAGGTTCTACAAGTAATAAACCTTTATTTTTTTTCAAAGTTCCCCGATGGTCACTGATGGTGTCTTACAATCATAATAAGAACTGGGGGACCTGGTCCAGCTGCAACGTGGGTTATTGACAGGCTGAGACAGGTGCAAAACGGCAAGGGACCCTCTCCCCCGCCAGCGCCTTGGGCATACCTTCCTCAGAGGGACCTCTGGCTCAGGAGTCTTTATTATTACTGTAACCATTTTAAAGAACTGAAATAGATAAACTGAGAAGTAATAATTACACAAGGTGGTAGTGGTTGGGGTGGGCATTCAGCCAACTGCGACGGGGGTACCCAGAACCTTGTTGTTATTACTGTGCACACAGGAAACCGAGACTCGTGGAGGGGACCCCACACCTGCCCAAGGTTGCAGGCGGGTGGGCCCTGGGACTGCGGGTGCTGGCTGTCCCGCATCAGGGTCTCCTTGGCCTGGGCAGAGAATAAAGGTGGCTGCATTTGCTTAGCACCTAGCGGGTGCCAGCAGGAGGCCTTATGACCTCGTTTTACCAAGAAAGGAAACTAAGGCAGAGAGAGCCTGAGCTGAAAACCTGGTCTTGCTTAAGCTTGGAGCAGCCCTGCCACACCGTCCCTCTCTCACTCCCCGCTTTTCACCAAAGCAGGCGGCTTTTCCTGGGCTGAGAGATCTGTCTTCATCTCTCCCTGCTCTCTCTCTCTCCCACTCCCTCCCTATCTTTCTCTGTCACTCTCTGCACGTTTCCAGCAGTCCTGAGGAGCACACAGGAGACCAGCTTTGCCCTTCCAGGCTTGAACCCCTCCCCACAGCCTAGCCCTCCCAACTGGGCCTTGCCCTCCGACCTGCACAGAACAGCCTGTTCCCTCCACCCACTAAAAGCCTGTAATCAGCTCCCCAGGACAGAGCCGAGGCCACCAGCTGGGACTGGGAGGAGGGCTTCTCCCCTATGAGCCCCAGCCAATGCCCCACCCTGCTCTCTCCTCCGCAGCCTGTCCTGAGGCCCTGACCACATTCCTTCCTAGCTCACACCCCTCCCCAAGTTTCCCCATCACCCAAGTCCAGCAACAAACCATCCCTTATACTGAATTACTTTATTCATTCAACAAATACCCCAGAGTCCCCTCTGTGCCCACCCAAGCCCAGCCCCCACAGAGCCTCCAGGTCAGAAAAGGAGCCAGAGCTGAACACAGTCGCCACCCTAGCCCTAGGATCAGAAGGAGGTGCGGGGCTTGCAGGGAGTGGCCAGACCACATCACGGAAGGCTTCAGGGAGGTGAGCGCTGAGGTTCTGAGAGATGAGTAAGAGCTTTCCAGGGAGGCTACGCTGTGCTGCGGAAAAGCCTCACAGGCAGGTGAGGGAGGGCGGCAGGCTTCAGCTGCATGAGCCTCCAGAAGCTGACTCTGCACAGCTGAGGGGCCAGCACTAAGGACCTGCTACCCAGAGAGGGGAAGCAACTGGCCTGCTGTCACACAACAAATAAGTGGCAGAACCATGGGCTCCAACAAACTCTGTCCTCTGAGCCTTCTCACTCTTGTTGTGCTGTTCCCTCTGCCACGATTGCCTTTCTGTCCCTCAACTGCTGAAAAGCTGTCAGGCTCCAGGATCATCAGTGTGTAAACCTCTGGTCAAGACAGAAAGGGTCCCGGTACAGTGAGGGTGGACAGAGACCCAAGCCTCTTCTGACCCTTGACACAGTACCAGTCACACTTGCTCCCCCCAAAAGTGAATTTCCAACCAAATCAGCTGCTCTTGGCCTCCTCCAGTGAGAGCAGGGTGGGGGAACAGAAGCCTGAGATCATATATTTAAAGCTGCACAATGTCCCTGACGGAAATGAGACAGGAAGACATCCTGAGAGGACGGAAGATGAGAAGAGCTTAAATGAGGTCCCTCGCTTCTAAAAGCAGGGCTCAGTGGGCTGATTAAGGCATCTATCTTGAATCTGTACAAGTTCCAAAGGCCACAAGGCTGCTGTTGCTCCACAAGCCAGGGATGTCCCCAAAATGCAATGTCATTTGACTCGTGGGGGTCTTCATGTGGCAGGAGGCCCAGAGAGGAGCAGTTCCTGCCCAAACTCACACAGCCAGTCCACGGAGACCAGAACCCAGGGGTCTGTGTGCAGATGTAAAAGTAACAGTGACTGGGGCTCTTCCTCCAGACAAGCAGGGAAGGTGCATATCTCACGCCTCCAGATGCTACCCCCTGCTTCCACTCCACAGCGCATCCAGCTGGGGGCCCAAGGTGCTGAAGGATGGCCGGTCTTGTGGGCTAGGAGCCCAGCACAGCTTCATGAGCTCATGAACCTAAGTGGGTGTGAGGAGACAGCAGAGTCACAAGGGAGTGGTAGGAAGGACATGACTCTTGTTCACAGTTTTAAAATATACTCAGACTCCATCCTTCTGCTCCAAAGCCTCCCATGACTCCCCATGGGTGTTAGAACAAAATCTCACCCCCTCCTCTGCCTCCTGCCCTCCCTTACCACCACACCCCCCCCCCCACCATCTGCTCCTACCCAGGACCTTTACAGTTGCTGTGTCCACCACTGAGAAAGCCATCCTGCCAACTCTCCCCGTGGGTGGGCTCCTTCTCCAGGTGCCACTCCCTCTAAGAGGCCCTCCCTGACCACCCCTCCCCCATCACTTCCCCCGCTCATCTCTTTCCCACCAGAATGTTCTTGTTAGCTTCTGCTGGTTACTGAGAAGACCCTACTGAGTCCCCAACACCAGCACACAGTCGGCGCTCCATAATGTCTGTGGCCCAAGCAAATTAATTTATGAATGACCAATTGCATGGCAGAAACTTACACAAAAGTTGTGATGATAAACCACGAGAGTCCCTGCCATGGTACTGAGTGCTGACTGTGTGCTGAGCTCTGAGCTGAGCACGGGATGCTGTTAACTCCTCTGATCGCTCACCCTCCAAGGCCTTGTTATTTCCACTTTGGGTCAGGTGAGCTTCGGCTCTGAAAATGTTCAGCCTCTCGCCCTAGCAGGAGCTCTCAACCAAGAGACAACATGGGGAAGAAACTCAGAGGGGCCAGCTGGCTTGCCCAAGACCTCAGGGTGGGAAACTGAGTCAGTCCCAACAAAGGCTCACCTCACCAGGGCAGGCTGGAGGTGCAGGCAGCCTCTGGCCCTCTGCCAGCAAGTCCAGGAGGCGGCAAAGAGCTGGGACATCTCGCTCACATCCCATCATCCGCAGGAACTCCTGGGGCCAAGGGGGAGCACCCATGGTGAGGAAGGAGCATTCCATGATGGTGGGGAGGGGCCAGTCGGTGATTAGGAGGGTAAGCCATAGTGAAGGGGCTCATCATGGTCGGGGCAGGGGAGGGTCCTCTGTGATGGAGGGGCTGCCTGTGGGGAGGAGGTCAGCCACAGCAAAGCAGTGTGGGGAGGAGGGTTGCTAGGGACGCAGGACGCTGACTCACAGCGGAGGGGCTACAGCTCTTGTCGCTGTAGGTGAACAGCTCATACAGAAGGACCCCAAAGCTCCAGACATCTGACTGGCGTGAGAAGATATTGTCCGAGAGGGACTCCGGCGCGTACCTGGGGGGGAGAGGGCATCCTTGTGGTGTGAGCACCTGGCAGAGGACAGGAAAGGCGCAGCCTTGGGAGAGGGGAGCTGTCCAGGGCAGGTGGGACTATGAGAAGGTCAGGCTCCAGCTCTGGGGTCTCAGTTTCCCTGCCTGTGGGATGGGAGTGACTCTGGGGACAGCCCCTGTGAGACTTGGGTGGAGGGAGTCAACTCTGGCTGTAGCTGTAGAGAAAGGAGGTGATAGTGCAGAGGGGGAGGGATGCCGCCAGTACACTGGGAGGGGCATGGCCTGGGTGGGGCCAGGGCCACGGGAGGGGCGGGGCTTCGGAGGGACGGGGACAGTACAGAGGAGAGGCGGGGTCAGAACAGTAGGAACAAGGGAGGGGCTAGGGTACTGGAGAGGGGAAGGGGATGGGGGTGGGGGGCAGGGTGTAGTTCAGGGGGACTGCTGCAGCTTGGGGCGAGGCCAGTGTGGAGGGCGGATCTGGGTGTCGGGAGGAATGGGGTCGGTACACTGGGAGGAGGGGCGGGGCCGAGGCCTGGCCAGGTCCCCACCAGAAGATAGGGCTTTGGCCCGGCTCCCGGACAACGTAATAGTCTTTGTCCAGTGGCAACAGCTTGGCAAGGCCAAAGTCAGCAATCTTGACATGGGTCTCGCTCTCCACCAGGATGTTACGCGCTGCCAGGTCGCGGTGCACACAGCGGCGGGAGCCCAGGTACTCCATGCCCTGCGGGCAGACATGGGGTACAGACTCCAGGGTGACTTAGCAAGGGACCCTGAGCCAGACCTGGAATTTAACTGCAACCCCAACCCAGACCCCGAGCCTAACTCCACCCCTGTCCCATCCTGCAATCCCGTCCGGACCTTAGCCCTAACTCAATCCCATTTCTAACCTGACCTGGACCCCCAAACGTCGACTTTCAGCTTTCCCCAGGACTCCAGGAAGACTCCCATCCCAGGCTAGCCAGCTCGGATCCATAGGTCCCAGAGCTTCCGCCCCTCACCTTGCAGATCTGCGAGGCGTAGAGGAGCAGGCGGCTGGCATCCAGGCGCATGCGGTGGCGCTGCAGGAAGTCACGCAGGCAGCCACTGGGCAGGTATTCCATGACAAGTCTCAAACTCTGGCGGCCTAAGAGGCAGGGGAGGATAGAGGAGTCACCAAGGGGGCGGGGGCACGACACGCTGTCTGCTCTTCTCCTCATTCTTCCTCTGGCCCAGAGTGGGACTGGGACTCAGTATTGTTCTCTATAAAATGGGAAAGCAACAACACATCGCCAATGTCTCTTGAATACTTTCTATTATATACATTGATTTACTGATACCATGTAATGACCCATGCTGTGGAAGGATGGCCATGTGGGGTTTGAAGAGTACCCATTTGGGAGGGGTTGCACCTGGGCCATAGCTGACACCACGATACTTGACGATAAAGTCGCTGTGCAGGGCTTTGAGGATCTGGATCTCCCGCTGGAAGTCCCTCTGCTGGTCTGGCCCGCTGTGCTGCAGCTGCTTCACAGCCACCAGGGCTCCTGTGTTGTCTCCCAGTGGGTCATAGCGGCACAGTTCCACGCTGCCAAAGTTGCCCTGAGGGACAGTGGGGCTGGTGTCCATGTGCCTGGGTGCCACCCTGCCCAACCCAACCCAGCCCAGCCCAGCCCACCGCACCTTGCCCAGCTGTGAAATGTACTTAAGGTGTCTCTCCTCAAAGATGGTAGGGTCCTGGCAGGCATAGAGCTGGGCGCCATTCCACAGCCCATCGCGGGGCGCCAGGGCACCAGGTGTGGGGTCCGAGAGGAGTTCATAATCTGGGGGCCACAGGCAGTGAGTGTACAGTGTATTGGGCCTTAAGCTGATTTGCTATGTGACCTTGATCTGCATGCTTACCCTCTCTGTGCCTTACGGCAGGGCCACTGCGAACCAAAGGGTACTTTACAGGACTGAAAAGGTGCCTTAGGCAGTGTGTACCCTGTGCAACTACACATTGCTATGGAGACCAAAGGGCCTTCCCAGACCCCATTGCTATGAGCTGTGGTCACATGATGGCGCTCAGGCAGATGGAGGAGATATGCTGAGTGCCCCTGCAGGCCTGGTCCACCCTCCCCGCTCTTTCTCTTGTCTACAGAGGATCTAACAGAGTGGAACCACAAAGGAAGAGGTGCCTGTTGACCTGTTCACCTTCAGTGACTGAGAACTAAACACCATCATGTACAACCCTGAGCTTAGGGGCCTTTTTGTTATAGCAGCTGTCAAGGCCATACTGACTATTGCAGTTGCCAGCACTCCAGTTGTGTCAGGCACACGGGCTGGGCTCTGCTCCCACTGGGCCCAGTACCACATGCAGGTCCTGCCCACCCTGCCTGGCCCAGGGCACACCTGATGTAATGAGGTTGTTCAGGTCCCGAATGACAGCACGAAAGGAGGGCCTATGGCTTGGCTCGTAAGTCATGCACTGTTGGATTAGCAGGGCCAGCTCCATCCACTTGGGGGCAGGCAGCTGCTGCCGCTCCTCATAAAATTGGAGCTTCTGAGGGTGGGAGGAGGAACTGGTCACCTCTGGTGCGTCCTCAGAGGCCTTCCCAGACCCACCCATGCTCCCCAAGTTGAACTTTAGTCAACCCCTCTGTCAAAGGGGGACTCTGACCTTGGCAGGGTCCATGGAACTGATTGGCATTGTGACTCCACTGAACACCTCCCAGACTGTGGCACCGAAGCCCCACTTGTCAGCTTCCAAGCCAAGTGTCCGGGCTTCCTGGAGACATTCAGGGGCCACCCAGGGGATCCTGTCAGTGAGCACTGGTGGAGGGCAGGGGTGATGATGGCATCAGGGATCACTTCCTTGCCCCACAAGGACCCTCCATCCACCAGCCCTCTTCACTCACTCTCAAGGCTTAGCACAGTGGGACTGACACCAGGGTCACTCAGCTTGATGAAGGGTAGGTTCCCGTCAGACCCCTCCCGGGCCAAGAGCACCTTACGGGCTGAGACATTGCCATGGATGAGACCTTTGTCCTCCTGAGTGGGCCAGGGATAAAGAAATGCGAGGGAGGGTTTGATGAGAGAACACGCTGGCTGGTAAACTCCTACACATTCTTCACTGCCCACCTGGTACTGCTCACACCGCACTCCAGAATCTTCCCTAGATTACTGGCAGCCTGTCTGGCCTCTTCCAGTCCACCCCCTATGACCTGGCTGTCTTTCCCCTGCTCAAATACTGTTCTCCCACCCTGTGGCTCCCCATTGCCTCCAAGATAAAGTAAAAAGCCCTCAGCCTGGCATTCAAGGCCTTTTTAAATCCAGCCCTTGTTCATTCTTCCCGTGAGCTCTCTTCCATTTCCCCACTCTGGTCTCCTGCCAACTGAACTGCCCGATGTGCCCCAGACATGGAATATTCCCACTGCAGGCCTTTGCCGAGGCTGTTTCTCAGCCTGACGTGCCCTGCTCCCTTCTTCCTCCTGATGAACTCCTACTAAACTTTCAAGGCCCCAGCTCTTTGGGAAGCCTTCCCTCTGCCCAGTCTCATTGCTCACTACTCCCCGAGATCCACAGATAACCACCTCTTCCTTTCTCCTGCTCTTATATCTCTGATCCTGTACATATGCTGTTCCCTCAAGTCTGAAATGCCCTCCTTTGCCAAACTGCTATCCCTACTACAGAGCCCACCCCGCGCCTCCTCTCTCTCCTCTCTCTGAACGGAGGATGATGCAGACAGAGGAGCGCTCACCAGATAGTTGAGGGCATAGGCCAGCTGTTTGATCACCTGCAGCTTCCAGCTGGCTGGCACCAGATGGCCGCACTTACGCAGGTATGTGTCCAGTGCTCCCAGGTGTACAAACTCCTGCACCATGATGCCTGGGGACAGCACAGGGAGGGGCAGGGTTGGGAGGCTCAACTGCATTGTATGCAAGAGAATCTGCCCCCACTCCACCCTCCTGAGTCACTGCTCTCACTGTTCCCTTCCTTGCCCCTCCTCTTCCTTACCCTACTCACCTCTCTGCCTCCCCACCTCCCATCTCAGAACTGTCTTCCTGAAACGCCTGGAAGGTTCTGAGCTCTCTTCATATGCCCCTTCCAGCTCTTTGTATGTTTCATGTCGTCTGCCTAGAACACCCCCCTTCCTTTTCTTCCCTAATTCCTACTTATCCTCACCTTCCCAGAACCATGGCCTGACCCCCAGGCTGTCCCCATCACACATGATCTCTTATCAATCACCTGCCAGCCTGTCACGCTCTCTGCTGTGCCCCCAACTCCTGACACATACTAGGCTGAACGAAATGCATGGAATGGAAGCTTTGTACCCCTTACAAAGTTGCAGAGGGGGAACACGGTGAAGGGACATTGGAACCCAGATCTGGCTTGAGATGGCTCTGGGGGCTGGGTAATGGCAGAAGCCTGGAGCTGCTGCCCAGGGAGTGACATCTGAGGGGCGTATGGATAGGGTGCTTGCCCCTGTGTGAGTACTTCTAATGCTGCCATGGACAGACTCAGTGAGGCAGAGCAGGGGTGGGGCACAGGGTCTCTCACTGTCTCCGGCCATGCACACGCCATGAAGCAACACGAGATGCTGGTATGACACTTGGCTCATCAAGCTCGCCGCTTCCAGGAATGACTGGGGAGGCCAGGAGGGAGAGAAGATGCATGGGTTCCTCCCACTCCTGGGTCAAACCAGAGACCCCAAACTTGCTGCTCGTAAACCTGCCCCAGGAGGAGACCTGGCCCCAACCTTCTCTGGCCCTGGAGCCCACTGTGAGTGCACACAGCCCTCTGTATCATAATTTTCTGACAGCGGCTGGAAGTGGCCACTGTAGTCCACCTCGAGTCTTTCACAGGTAAGTGGGAGATCTGGGGGTTGAGAAAGGCTGTCCTTCCCCTGTGTGGCCCAGCCCCGCCCCCCCCCCCACCTCCATCTACATTACTCCCCTGTCCTTCGTTCACGCATCTCCGGCCCCCTGGCCTCCTCACTGTCCCTTACATCTGCCACGCCCAGTCCTGCCTCGGGACCCTTGCACTGGCTGTTCCCACAGTCTGGTATACTCTCCATCTGCATCCACATTCTCCAACCCTTCTGTAGTTCATCATTTGAGGATGGTGTGGCTGCATTTCTGTATTTTTAAATGTCTCTGACCCCACGACACTCTCTCCAGCCAGCCCTGACCGCAAACTCCTGGTCCTCATCTGCTCACCTCTGTGCAGTTCTTGTGTTTCGCATCTAACACTTTGAGCAGCACCTCTGTCTTCCGAGGCTCCCCGTCCACGGGCTCGTGGCGACAGCCCCGGTAAATCTTGGTGAAGGATCCGTGACCCAGGTTCTCGTGCTGGGGGGTGAGGGGGCAACGGGAAAGGCCAGTAAGGGCGCTCCTGTGGGATTCTGACCCCCCCACCAGCCTGAGCAATACACAGACACTGGCCCCATTTTACAGACGATGCAACAGAAGCACAGAGATTACATCACAGGCCCGAGGCCACACAGCAGACATGGATACAGACCAGGCCTCTGGACTCCAACCGAGGTCCCCCCACCCCTGTTCCCTGCAGCCCTTACCCACTCCAGGCTATCCACAGGGATCTTGTGAAATGTCATCTGACTCAGCTGGCATCCTGAGTGGGGCTGAACAGGGGATGATGTAGGTGGACTGCAACCTCTCCGGACCACAATCAGATTGGACTTTTCTATGAGTAGGTGAAGAGGGAAAACCAGAAGTCAGAGGCGAAAGGCCCTCACTCTGTCTTAGTTTGGGGTCTCCCCTGGAAGCCAACCCTGAGATGAAGACTCCAGGATATGTGGTTTACTTGAAAGGAGACTACAGGTAAAACCAGGGTGGGGGGTGGGGGAGTAAGACAGAGAGGGAAGGAACCCTGCAGGGCCCCGGGATGAGCAACCAGCAGTACGGGCAACCAGGTCTCAGTGCTGCCAGGGACTCCAGGAGACCCAGAACCCATGCCTCAGGGCTGTCCCATCCCAGGGGCTTGTCTGAGTGAGACTCATCCAGAGGGAAAGGCAAAAGAGGAGGGGAGACTGAATGCTAGCGGCATCCCCAGATTCCAATTCTGGGTTCAGCTGTGCCTGAGGGCAGCACTATAACCCACAAGCCAGTAAGTCAATTTTTCTTCCCTAAAACACTTTGACCTGCATTTTCCGTGTCTTGCCACTTACGTGGTGTCACAAAGAGAACGATGGGGCCCCAGACCAACTGCTCAGCTCAGGGGAGAAGGTGGGCTCACCTTTGGGTCTAGGGGTGCAACAGAAGGTGAGGTTCAGTGCAACCCCGTCTACATGCAGCCCACCATCCAGGCAGGCTGCCAGGAGCTCTCGAAGACTGCTGTGGGGTCGGCTGAGGCCAGCCAGGGAGAAGGCTCCTGTGGGGTCACACCGGATGAGGCAGCCCTTGTAATCGGGGCCCAGGGGGGTCTGCAAGGAGGAGAGGTCCCTGAGCGGGAGTAGGCAGCACCCTCCCTCCCCCTCACTCCCTCTTCCTTAAGCACCACAGGCTCATTCTGATCTCCAAGCCTTTGCATATATGCTGTTCCCCTCCACTGGGAATGTCCTTTCCCTTCCCTTCTTCAGGAAGCAAATGCTCACACATTTTTCAAATCTCACCTCCTCTAGGAAGCCCTCCCTGCCCTCCTGGCTCCTAGTGGTGGACCGACCTGGACACAAACAGTGAGGAGGAAGCTGTTGAAATCCTGGGGGCTGCGACGGAGCACATAGGAGCCAGGAAGGGATCCCTCAGTCTTGAGCTTGTTGATGGCAAAATCCAAGCTTGGGGAAAGGTGAGAGAGAACAGAAATTCCAAATCCAAGAGATGGAGGCAGAGAAATCAAGCCAGGCCTGGGTTCTAATTCTAGTCTCTGAAGCCTAGGACCGTCACCTGGTAATATTCCCTCCCTCCCGGATATAAAAACTGGGTCAAAAGATGGATTTCTGCCTCGGAGATTAAACAAGAAGAAATGGCCCTGGAACCCCAGGAGTAAGAGGGTGGGAAGAGGCTGCTCTGGGCAGCAGAAGTGAGACCCTGGACTCTTTAAGCACTGACTATACACCAGCCGCTGTTCGCGCCCTTGACCCCTTGCCCAGGGCTCCTAGGAGGTGAGGACATTGAGGCTCCAAGAAGGGGAGTGACCAGGATTTGAGCCTGGGTGTTTCTGGCTGCTGAAGGCAGACCGGGAGGTCGGTCCTTACGTGATAGGGCCGTGGCACTGCTGCGCCACCTCCTCCAGAAGCCGCGGAGGCGCCACCTCCTTGCAGAAATAGTGCCCGGAGTCGGTGGTCAGCCGGAAGTAGCCGTCGACCAGTGCCACGAAGGACAACGCTCCTGGCAGCCCCGGGAACTCAGCCTCCTGCAAGGGGCCACGTTAGCTCCCCGTGCGGTACTCGCCCACGGGGAGGCCGGGAGAGGAGGGGTCTAACACCCACCAGGATCTGGTTGTCTGTCCTGGTGATGGTGACCAGACGGTGTTCCCCAGCCGGGCCAACGCGCGGCGCCTGCTTGATGCTGATGTCCACGATTTCTGGAAAATCGCAGAAAGGCTGGAAGATCTGGGAAGGAGGAAGAGGGCAGAGGGTAGGGGTCCACTTCCTCGGAGCCCCCAAACCCTTAGAAGCCTGGATCCCACCAACCCGACCATGAGCCCCGCCCCTTTCATCCAGGCCCCGCCCATTCTTTCCCACCTCGCCCCTGCCAAGGCCCACCCCTCTAAAGCCCTCTCCCGCCCATCCCCATTTTTCCCACCGCACCCCTGCCAAAACCCTCCCCATTCTCTCAGTGGGTGTCTTCCTTGAGCCCCTCCCCCACTTAGCTCCACGTTATCTCCCCACTTCTCTGGGTCCAGTCGGAAGCCCCGCCTCCTCTCTTAATCCTGCCTCTTCTCTATACCATCAGTTAGCCCTGCAGGCAGCGAACTCTGCCAGTCCAACCAGCCCCCACCCCTCAGCCCCGCCCACTTTCCTGACCCTCCCTTCTAGGCCCCGCCTCCACGGTTGGCCCCACCCAGCATCTGCCAGGCACCTCCTGTGTTCCTGGGCTCCAGGCAATGCCGCTACCACCAGATATGCGGAGGAGCCCTGACGTATCCTGACCACCAGCAACGCCGGGGATGCCCACGACGAAAGTCTCAGTGGCCCTGGAGGGGTCCAGTCGCTCCAGGTCCATGATGTACTTGACCATGAGTGAGTGCCTGTCAACCTGACAGGCGGCCACACGACCCAGGGCCTGGCGCACCCTCCTCCGGATTCGCCTCCGTGTAACAAAGCCCAGGCCCTGGATCAGGTCGCGCAGGCTGGGAGGCAGGCAGGTCTTGTAGCTGCCAGTGGGGGAAGTGGACTCTCAGTGTGGGAAGGAGTCACCCCGCTGGGACGGACAGGGACATACATCAACTCAGGCTGTAGTTGAGGGGCTGTAGTGTGGCTTCCATGAGGGGCATGAAGTGCACATGGAGACACACTCAGGGACATGCATAGTGTCAGGGCCTCAGTGTGGGGAGGGCCACTGGGGCCCAGAGGACAGACAGGGACATGAGCAGGCCGTTTAGGGGCAGAAGCCAGGGCCCTGGAACCCCAGTGGGGTGTGGACCTGGGTTGAGAAACCTGGGCCACATGGACACAATGCAGGCTTGCAAGTGGGGAGTGCTACGGGGTTGCTGGGCTCTGGGATGCCCTAGTGGAGCCATGTTTGCTCATTCCCAGGTAGCAGCTGGGTGCCACAGCCCCCAGGCCCTCACCTGATGGTCTTCAGCAGCTCCTCTGGTCGCTGGGCCTGCTCACAGGCCATCTGGGCCAGGTCCAGCACAGCCAGGCTGAGACATTCGCCCTGCTCCTTGAGGCTAAGGCCCATGGGGAGACGGCCGCTCACCAGGTCGTTGCGGTGCTGGGGGCCAGTCACAGCCCGACAGTGAGCCCTTAAGTTGCCTTGCAGACCCCCACCCCTGGGCTGACCGCCATCCCTAGGTTGCCATAGGGAGGGTCAGCCAAGGCCACCCCTGAGGTTACTCCGTGGACCGCCAGCCCTGGGCCCAGCCCTACGCAGACCCCTACCTGGGCAAATAGGTGCTCCAGGACTGGCAGGTCAAGGATGGCACTGGCCAAGTCCTTTCGAAGCCCGAATCGGTGACACTTGTCTAGCCCAAACCAGTTGGGGAAGTAAAAGCTGTGTAGGGGAGGGCAGAACCTTGGAGTGGGCAGTAGAGGACCTTGCCAAGACCTCACAGAGCCCAGGGTGTACCAATGAATTGCTGTGTGACCAGGCAAGCCACCTACCCTTTCTGGCCTTAGTTTCCTTATCTGTGAAATGGACAGTGATCACACCCTCCCTGGGGCACCCACTGGCAGGTAGAGGGAGATAATACATTGTAGGATCTGTTTTAAATTCCCATTTCCTAAGCCCTCAGCAAAAGACATCCCATTGCAGAACCCTCTAACCCACACCTGCAGGGGGTAGGGGGAAGTGCTTCCTACCGGAGCCTGTAGACGAGGACTTGGGTGCCCACATCCTCCACGGAGAAGATGTGGCTCGGGGGAAACCAGCAGGACAGGTCCTCCACGGCCAGAGCAAAGAGGGAGTGGTACACGGGCAGAATGCCTGAGGGGACACCCCCATCAGCTCCCTCTTGCTGTTTCCATCCGTCCCTCTGCAGCCCCCACCCATTGCCACAGGGCTCTTTGTCACCTTTAGGTATGACACTGTGTCCCACCCCTGCTTGCCATCTTCTCAGGGCTCCCTACCCCTCTCCCCAGACACCTCTTTCCACTGTACACTTTACCTGGAGGGATGATCAGCTGTTTTCCCTCCTGTGCTGTCACACCTCTGAGTCTTTGCACGTGCCATCCCCTCTGCACTCTTCTCCCTTACCAAACTCCTGCTTATCCCTCAAAGCCTCAGCTCCGAGGCTGACTCGGGTTGGCAGCTATCTAGCTCCTAACCCAGACCCCTACCCGACCCACCCCTCTGACCCAGCATTTTAAGGACCCACTCACCACTGGCCTTAGCAGCCTGAACACACAGTTCTTCAGCCGAGTGGTCCCCAAAGGAGAAGGAGAGGCGCTGAGGGGGCCCGGGGCCCCGAGGGGGCAGCAGCACATGCAAGGCACCAGCCTCTGAAGATGAGAGGCTGCAAGATCGCTGAGAGATCAGGGGTGTCTCCTCACTCGGAGGCGCCATGTGTGCAGCCTGTCTGGACAGAGAGACAGACCCTCAGTTCCGGGCAGAGGGGCGAGACTACAAAGCTCTTGGGCCCGGATGGGGTGGGGTTGGGGAGGAATAGAGATACTGCTGGGTGAAGTAGGCATTCAGCTGGAGAAAGAGAGGGACAGAGGGAGAGAGAGAGGGTTGAGTGTGTGAGGTGGTTGAGGAGTCACAAGTTCTCAGGTGAGAGCTGTGCTGAGGGCTGGAAGATACTCTGCACCCACATTCGTCTGAATTCATGCTAAACACTCTTGTTGGTGCCCAAGGCAGACATCTCCGGTCAATCTGCAGCCTCTACACTTATCCCCCAGCTCAGCCCCAGCCTCAGGCAGACAGGAGCAATTGATCACAGATGTACAGATTTGCCAAACAGGAAGCAGATGGGTACAAGCTTTCGGCTTTCGCACATAAGGTTTGACAGGAGTAAGGGTGGCGGTCACTCCCTGTGAAGGCATGGGGGCGGTGGTGGTGGAAGAGGGTACTCAAGCACTTGGGTCTGGAAGCTTCTGCATCTGATGTGATTCCTGCCCTGGGGACAGACCCAGTATGCTGACTCTGCCAAAAGGGATGTCTGCCCCCCAGCCCCCCTGCCCTCTCTGTCTGCATCACCGAGCCCCCCAGAGCATCTCAGGCCCCCAGAACAGGAAGTCCAGGAGGATCACCCTCTTTATTCACAGTGTTTGACACATACCAACTTCCAGTTCTCTCAAGGTGACCCCTGGGGAACCCCAGAGCTCAGGGCCCCTGGCTGGGCAGAGCGAGGGGTTGGCCACTGAACCCAGTGAGGAAAAGCAGGGGAGGAGGACAAGATCCACTTAAACTGATCTGAATTAAGAAAATACAAAGAGAATGTTGGGTAAAAAACTATGTTGCAAAACAGTAGTAGGGGATGTGGGTGGGAGGGGAGAGCATTAATGCATTTTTAAAGGGTTTTGTTTATTTACTTTTCAGAGACGGGAAGGGAGTGAGAAAGAGAGGGAGGGAAACATCAATGTGTGGATGCCCTCCCCCACCCCGCACATGCTCCCCACTGGGGACCTGGCCTGCAACCCAGGCATGTGCCCTGACTAGGAATCAAACCAGCAACCCTTTGGTTCACAATCTGGCATTCAATCCCGAGCCACACCATTAATCCATTTTTAACGCACCCAGAATATAAGCCTGGGGCTGGAGTAGATGAAGACCCCAGGCTCTGGGTTCAAATCCCAGCCCCACCACGTCCTGGCTATCTGAGCCTAGCAGGGCTCCCAACAGTGGGGCTCAACTCCGTCAGTTGTGAAATGGCCTGACACCCTGCCTGCCTCAATGAGGTGGGCCTCTGAGCCCACCCGACGTGTCAGGGCATTTAATCCACAGTAACTGACCCAATTCTTGGCAATATGCCCAGTGAGTACTCAACAAATGCCAGCTAAACCACACAGGAAGATCCCCTGGCATGGTGGTTTAGTGGCTACTGTGAGGGAAGGTGGGGAAGAACTTTCCCCTAGGGACACCTCTGTGTCACTAGCTCCCAGGCCAATAATGGTAACAGCCTCAGGGGCCCAGGGGCCCCTGTCACTCCTCACAGAGGGGACCACTGTCCTATTTCTAACAGCCAACCTGATCTTGCCAGTCTTTGCACTTTTCTATAAACAGAATCAACATAGCACATCATCTGTTAAAATAAATCCTAAGCAACAACATGATTGTTTAATATCGAAAGTAAAAAAAGGGCAAGTCAGAGGTGAAAACCCAGAGTTTGGGGCCCAGAAAAATGCCCCTGTTTTAAACCAAAATCCCCACATCCCAGAATGGCTGGTCACTCTCTTCTCTGGCCTGGGGACCAAAAGGGTCAGGGCTGGGAACCGTTTCCCCAGGAGTCCTGAGCTCCCTGCAGGCAAGTGCACAGTGATTCGTTCAGGTCTCTAGAGCTGAGAAAGTGAAGCCTCGTTTTATATTAGGCAGTTGAGGCCCAGAGGCCAGAGTGCTTTGCCAGGGGCCACTAGAGCCAGCCATCCAAGCTCACATCTGTTTAGCAGCTTTCCTCAGAGGCCTGGAAGGCAAACTTGCCTTCGCGGTCACATTACCCTCCACTGGCTCTGACACTGCCAGACACAACCGTCCACCCACCCTGAGCCCAGCCAGAGCCCTGTGGCACCACCAGATCTTACCTGGCAGGTGGGGACCCTGGGCCAACAATCAGAAGGCAGAGCCCAGTGGCAGTGGAAGGAAAGTCCCACTGGGCTCTTTCCTGTGTGGGCCCCTGTGCTTCCTGAGCAGCTGTCACTTACCGAAAGTCATGGCCTTGTGGGGGAGATGAGGGCGGGGAGGTGAGAGGGCCCAGATGGGGAGGGGCAGAAAGTTCCGGAAGCCTGTACAGCATTGGCCCTCCTCAGACAGGCTGCTGGAGATTCAAGACCCAAAGGATGACAGCACAGAGGAGGACTCAGGTCACACAAGGGTCTCAGCAGGCTCTGGACTCGCTCTCTTGAGGCCCTGGCAGCACCCTGGCTCCCCAGGCCTGCATTTAGCCCTCTGTGGCACGTGCAGATGCATGCTGGGCACCCGGAGTCATTAATTTTACACTCAGGAAAGACAACTGGGCTGGTCTGTCCAGGAAAGAAGCCATGAAGTTGTTCCAGACAAAGGTGGAGTTCTCCTTGTGGCATTTCTCCCAGGACACCTTGGGAGGGGCAAAGGCCCCCGACTGTGGGCCTCGTGCCCTACACTCTGCTCTAGCAACAGTGCGAACCAGGAGACTGGGCCTGCCAGAGGGCACGCCTCACCATCTGCCCATCATGGAGAGCAAAGAAGACCAGCTGACAGGGCAGGCACAGGCCAGGCCTCGGTGGGACTGGGCAGAGGCCAGGACCCACCCAGCTGGGGTCTGAGGCAGAGGGCACTGCACACAAAAGCCCTGAGGTGGGGGTGAGTCAAGCAGTTTAAGGAGCAGAGGAGGCTGACGGGGCAGGAAGAGGTGAAGTGACAGGGGGCAAAGGGTGGGCAGCACGTTAGGGTCTGATTGATTGTTTTAACACCCCTGAGGCTGTCACAAATGGAGGAAGCAGGAGACTAGGGCAGCACCCAGGTGAGACTTGGGCCAGTGTCCTTAATAGGATGTGAACCCCAGAAGCATTGGGGAGATGCTCTGGTGGGGTGGCTCAGTTGGTTGGAGTGTCATCTCCTACACCAAAATGCTGTGGGTTCGATTCCCAATCAGGGCACACACCTAGGTTGAGGGTTTGACCCCTGGCCAGGGTGTGCACGGGAGGTGGCCTGTCTACTGATGTTTCTCTCTCACACTGGTGTTTCTCTCTCTCTCTCTTCCTCTCTCTAAAATTGATAAACATATCCTTGGGTGAGGATTAAAACAAAGTAAAAAAATTGGGGGGGGGAGATTTTAGAAGACTCTTTTATCTCTATAATCCCATCAAAAGTCTTGGCCCAAAAATGACTTGGATATATATTTCATTGACTTTAATTCTATCATCCACAGATACTTATTGGGCACCTCCTGTGTGCAGGGTACTGAGGACACAGCAGGGAACAGAGCAGACACACTCTGACTCATAAACTGAAGGTCTCCTGGAGGAGACGACAATAAATAAACCTATTAGCTATGAATTGTTGCAGTGAGAGCTGCAAGCTGCTAGGAGAGACCCCCTGAATCTAGGAGGGCTTTCTGGAGGAAGCAACTTTGATACCAAAATCCATGGACAGGTAAGATTAGCCAAAGAACGATGTGGATGTGTGGGGAGTCCCAGCAGAGGATACAGCTGGGAAGTTGGGTAAGGTCAGAGAGCTCCCGAGAAGGGCAGGGTGGCAAAGACTCATTTAGAGGCAGCAGTGAGACCTCGTGGGTGGAAGAAAGGGGTGTAGGTTTTGTCCTTAGCATCGTGGGAGCCACAGCAGGCTTTGCTGCAGGAAGTGCTATGTGGGGACTTAGTATTGTTCTTTCACTTCCTGAGTGGCTTCAGCATAGACAAATGCACACACATATATCCGTTGCCGGGAGACAGAGGCTCCTGTGTCCCGGAAGGACAGGGAGTCTTTAGTCCCCTGGCAACTCCGGTCTGATGGTCACTACAATATTTTGAAAATGAGCAGGAGAGGAACAGAGTGAAGACAAAGGTGGCCCTCAGCTCCAGAGAGAGACACATGCAGGCTCCATGAGGACTTTCTCAGAAGGCAAGGCCCAGGACTTGCCCGAGAGCAAATTAAAACTAAAGTAAGCCCTGGCTGGTGTGGCTCAGCGGGTTGAATGCTGGCCTGCAAACTGAAATGTCACCAGTTCGATTCCCAGTCAAGGCACATGCCTGGGTTTTGGGCCAGGTCCCTAGCTGGAGGCACGTGAGAAGTGTATCTGTGTATCTCTCAGATACACAGATCGATATTTCTCTCCCCCCTTTCTCCCTCCCTTCCCCTCTCTCTAAAGATAAATAAATTAAATCTTAAAAAAAAACCCTCAAGTGATACAAACTCCCTATTTTTCTGCTGGCAAAAAAGCTCAAAGAGTAAACAAAGGAAACAGGTAAAAAGTTGAGTTTATATTATGAATAAAAATATCCTCATTATATGAGCAACCCTGAGAAAGCATTAATAAAATGCCAGAAACTCTGCAGGCTATGAACCCAGAAATCACAGAAAATGAAGCACAAATGCCCCTTAAACCCAGAAAAAAAATGCTAAGCCTCACTCAAAATAGAAGAAATGCAAATTAAAAGTATCAGGAAACCATATGATCATTTCAATGGATGCAGGAGAGATTTGACAAAATTCAACACCTATTCGTGATTTTTAAAGAATTCTTAGCAATTTAGCAAAGCAGGTATACATGAGAACTTCCTCGAACTGATAAGGAGCATCTGCCAAAAGAATCTACAGGTGTTATAACACTTACTGTGAAAGGCTGAATTGTGTCCTGAGACTGGGAACAAGACAAGATATCCATTCTTACAACTTCCATTCAACATTGTTCTGGAGCTCAAGGCCATTGCCAGAGGGCTAAATAAATAACTGGCTTAAAGGTTGAAAAGGAAGAAGGAAAACTGTGCCTATTTGCAGATGACGCATGGTTTATGTAAAAACCCCAAGGACATCTATGACAGCTACTAGAGTAAATGAATTTAGCAAGTTCACAGGTTAAAAAATTAAAATACAAAGTTCTATTGCATTCTTATACACTATATGCTCTTATACAGTGTGGGGCAAAAGTAGGTTTACAGTTGTTCATACAGAAAATAATATAATAATTAATAAATAACAATACAAAAATAAACTCTGTTTCACATACTCACAACTGTAAACCTACTTTAGCTCCATCCTGATACTAGCATTGAACAATTGAAAAATGAAAATATTTTTAAAATCTCATTTTCAGCAGCAAAAATAAAATAAAATACCTAGGGATAAATCTTACAAAATAAGTCTAAGATCTCTACACTAAGAACTACAGATATTGCTGAGAGAAATTCATGAAGACCTGAACAAATTAACAAGACACCCCGTATTCATGGGTTAGAAGACTCACTGTTAAGATGTCACTTCTCCCCAAAGTGATCTATAATCAATGAAATCCCAATCTAAATTCGGCAGGATTTTTTAAAGAAACTGGCACCAACTTTAAAATTCATACAAAATTGCGCCCTGGCTGGTGTTACTCAGTGGATTCAGCACCGGCCTGAGAAACAAAGGGTTGCTGGTTCGATTCCCAGTCAGGGCACATGTCTGGATCTCGGGCTGGGTCCCCAGTGAGGGGTGTGAGAGAGGCAACTACACATTTATGTTTCTCTCCCTCTGTTTCTCCCTCACTTCCCCTCTGTCTGAAAGTAAATAAATAAAATCTTTTTAAAATGTATATGAAACTGCAAAGGACCTAGGATAACCGAAGTGATTTCTTAAAAGGAATATAAAAGTCAAGGGGCTTATTCTACCTGATTTCTGGGCTTGTCATAGAGATACAGTAACTGAAACAATTTGGTGTTGGTGAAAGATATAAAACAGAATAGATAGTAATGAACCCAGATAAACATAGCCACTTGATTTTTTAAATTGACTTTAGAGAGAGGCAGGAAGGGGGAGAGAGAGAGAGAAATCGATGGATCTGTTCCACCTAATTATGCATTCACTGGGCGCTTCTAGTGCGTGCCCTGACTGGAGATCCAGCCTGCAACCTTGGTGCCCTGGCCTATTGGTTTTTGACACAGATACTAAGGCAACGAAATGGAGGAAAGGAAAGTCTTTTCAGCTAATGGTGTTGGAGCAACTGGCCATCATACAGGAAACAACTAACATTAACCCTTACCTAACACCAACCCAGAATTAACTCACAATGGATCACAGACCTGAATGTAAAACCTAAAACTCTAAGACTTCTAGAAAAAAAAAAACATAACAGCAAATCTTGACAAAGTCGGAGCAGACAAAGTTTACTTAGTTAGAAAAAGTTAATAATTACACTCCATCATTGTGCTCTTTGAAAGGTCCCACGGAGAAAACAGAAAGGCAAGACATAGATCAACAGAGAATATTCGCAAAGCTTACATTAAATAAACAAAATACATATATTCAGAGTATATAAACAACTGTTACAACTCAATGATAAAATATAAGAAATTCAATAAGAAAATGGGCCAGAGATTTGAACAGACCTTCCAGCGAAGAGGATGTATGAATGGCCAACAAGCACATGAAAAGATGCTCAGCATCAGTAGCCATCAGGGAAACGCAAGTCCAAACCACTAACTTGCTCACACACACCAGACCGGGCAAAATTAGGAAGACAGGCAATAACGTGCTGGCGATGAGATGCTGGTGGGATTGCAAAATGGCGCCGCCACCGTGGAAAACAGTTTTGCAGGTTCTTAAAGTTAAACATAGAATTACCCTGCGTGCAGCCATTCCCCTCGTAGGCATTTAGAGAAATTACAGCAGGTGTCCATACAATGACTTGTAAGTGAATGTTTGTCGTAGTTTTATTTGTAATAGTTCTAAACTGAAAACAAGTCAAGCAACCTGCGGTCCAGCCATACCATGGAACAGACTCAACAATAAGAAGGAATGAACTGTTGGAATGCACGCCGGCCTGGAACACTCCCAGGATCATCATGCTGAGTGAAGGAAACACCATAAAAGTCTAGGACATGCAGATTATGTTGATCATAGTCATGGTTTCACAGATTTACACCTGTGTCAAAATGGCATACAATGTGCATTTATTTTATTTTTTAAAAGATTTTAGGTATTTATTTTTTTAGAGAGAGGGGAAGGAAGGGAGAAAGAGAGGGAGAGAAACATCAATG